CGTTCACCTCAAGGATGGGGCCCTTACGCCAGTAACCGCCGTCGAGAAACTCGACCACATCATTCTCCTTAAACTGCTCCCTCAAGAACACGCTCACATCGACGCCATCGTACTCCCAGCCCATGGCCTCAAGGGAACTGCTGAGGCCCACTTTGCAAGACAGTCTTAGTTTTAATTGTGCGCAAGGGGGAGAGGGAAGTGAATCTAAGGACTATAACAAAATACATTTTTTCGGGATCAACCCCCTGACTCCCCCTCAAGCAGCAATTTGTATGCTCAATGCTCGAGACAGGCAAAAAAGACACTACTTTCGCTTCCGTCCTATGCGGACGGAAAATGTGTCCCTTTTGTAGACCAACAAGTCGTGTCAAGTAGCTTGCTGCTCTGAAGCTGAGGCCCAGCAGAAGACTCTGAAGAAAAGCCATGTCCCTGAAGTCTCAAACCTTGCACTCCAGCACACATCCCCGCACGTCCCGCCTTGAGTGTGGCTATCTCACATTTTTGAGAACCGCCGCAGCCCACTCCATCCCAGAGGTTTGCAGTCCGCAGATCCTTCATCGGCACGAAGCCCTTGTCCACCTCGTTGGGAAAGAATACGACTTTTAACCGCTGCTTTCGTTGCACGGCTTCTTCGACGTGCTCTAGCCAGACAACATACCAGCGGCACCCCCACGCCGCAGTCTTCCCGCAATCTCGATAAAGCTGCTCGGCCTCCTTCTCCTTTTGCCTTTTCACCTCTGGGCTGTCATCCACAAATATCACCGCGGCATTCATGGCCGTGGCCTTCTCGTAGATCATGTCGATTTCTTTCTCCGTGCACTTTGCACGCTCCTTCTTGATGTTGTGCAGGTATCCAAAGGTCTTGAAATCGCGTTCTCCGTAGATGCGTGGGCAGTAGCAACAGCCATCCTCGCTCTCCGGATCCTTCTCGTGCTGACCGAGCCCGTCGCTGGCCTCAAGGGAATGGACCTTCCTCACCTCCCTAAACCTACAGGGACCTGAGTAGAAACAAATTTCAGGGCTGCTACGGTGGAGGCGTGGGGAAGATTTGCTGGAGAGTGGAGAAGCGGAGATCAGCAAACCTCCCTAGCGCATAGCAGGGAACGAGGATTTACGGGTGAATGGAGGACGGGGATTGCTACTGACAAAACGACACGAAGGGGATCCATTCCCTTGTTCCCGACATAGCACCGGACAGAAGGAAAGAAGACAGAAGTCGGGAATCGAGGAAGCAGAAAATCAGCAGACAGAAAACACAAGTCAGCATGCCAGCTACATTGCAATCATGAGCTGCGCAAAACGGAGACACTGAATGCGGCATCACGCTTTTGTTCTTTTGGAGCAGTTTCTTGTTAAGTGAAGGGAGGGTGGAAATAACCCCCTGCTGGGGTGTGCTCAGGAACTATGCAACGGTTTTTCCCAACGAGAAGAGAATGAGGGTTTAACATCTTTTTGCTTCGAGTGACATTGGTTCTGCGCTGGCGAAAGCTTCTATGACTTCGACTTCCATACTCTTACATTGTTGTCCGTGGGAAATATGGGTATATGATTCCTTTATAGTCCCTAGATAATACGTTCCCTTATTCCATACTAACAACCAGCAAGTACTTCCTCACTTCTGCTCTGACTGCTGCTTTCTTGGTTCCTGACGTTAGCAGTGTGGCCTTCCACAACGGTTCCCAAATCATCCTAACTATACCTACTCGTACTGACGGTTAGCAGGGAATAAGGGATACTTACTGGTGGTTAGCAGGGAATAAGGAAACATCATCCCTGCATAATCCCCATAATATAATATACTCCCTTGTTCCCTACTCACCCCCAGTAAGCATAATGACGTCCATTTCAAGTTGAAATGCATTCTCCACTTGACTCTCAGGTTTAGAGTTTAGGGTTTAGGGATGGAAAAGGCACAAAATCTAGACTCAGGAACGAAACAGGTGATTCTTAAGATGGGATGCCCTCAACTTAGTGACCAGATACGGACATTCCGCAACTAGTGCTAGAGTCGAGCTTTTTGCAGGGCTCTATGTAATCCTGGAGGTTTGTGGTTTCGAGGTTTGCACTCTCAACCATAAGGAGTCTTCATCAATGTATGATAGTACTCTAGGAGAACAAGCAGATGTCAAGGAAACCGAAGCCCAAAAAAAAATCACGAAACCCCGGCTGGCCTTGCACAGGAACACGCAGGCCACACTGTCCCCATGTCGTTCTGCCACAAGGGCATCCCAGCCAGACTTGAACTTGCCGGGAAAGGATACCCAACAGACGCCGGCCTCCGTTGCCAACAAGAGTAGCAGACAAGAATGATTTCAGTCGCAACAACAGCAGTTGAATACACTTTATCTCCATGTAAACAAAGCTCCTATACAACAAGTGAACAGACAATGCTTGATAACAAGTTCGTTTTTCTGATTTGCGCAAACCAGAAACAAATCGAAACAAATCTCCTGTGCAAAAAGAAATCCTAGAATGCTCGTCGTCTTTCATGATTGCATCCAGCTCTATGAAACCCTAAACCCCAAACCCTACACCTTAAACCCTGAAGAGTAGTTTCCATCTGGTCTTCCATTATCCCAATGTCACCCCTATGTAACCCCAATATTCTATGAATGAACCATTGCCTCTGTGACAAGAAGAAACCTGGAGCCTCCGGCTTGATGCTGCCGTGGTAGGTGATCTCCTCTGCGCCCAGAACGGCTGCCCTTCCCTTTGGGACGAGGTGAAGCACGTCCAAAGCAGCCTCCCGGTGCGGGCGCTAAGCGTTTCAGGTTGAAGGTGCAGGGTTCGGGTTGGAGGATGAAGGGCAATGGCGTGAATGCAAGGAATGCGCGGCTTGCAAGCAGATATACGTGCAAATACCTGGGGTTTCCTAAAATTAGCGGGGTACCTTTTGGGCGGGCCCCTATAGTAAGGATTGTAGTATATTAGGGTCTATATTGGGGTCGCCCTACTTAAGGAAACTATCAAATCAAAGTGTCCGGCCTCTTCCGGGCTGTCTGGCTCAGAGGGATCTCCAACCAAGGAAGTCATCACGTGTCATCACACATGACATCACACGGATCATAACTTATTGCGACCTTGAATGGAACCCTGGTGGAAAGGAGAGTCGCAGCAAGGCAGGCTGCGAACTCCATGTGGATAGCAATATGTGATTGCATCGAGAAACCTTCATCATCTTTCAATGTGTACTCCTGAAGCCAAGCGAAGCAAATGGTGTGGCAAAGGGTGAGCGGTGAGGACAGGCAAGAAAACGCTCGCATAACTCAGCCAGACGATGCACCTCAGCCAGTGACAATGCAAAGGCACTGTCAGCAAAACTCCAATGTAGGACCGGTTCCAAAGCGATGGCATGCCCTACCACTTTGGGCGTACAGGCCACTTTCAATACATTAACAAGCAAGCAAAGCCTTTACAAAGCTTGCCGCTGAGGGTGAATCTGTACGCTGTACAAAATTGCCTTTGGACTCCAAAACGGAGTGACAAGTTGGTCACATGACAGAGGATCAAGGTGAACAGCTCTTGGTGGCACCGCACTTTGCTTTGCTTGGCTTACAGCTTGACTGAGGCCATTGCCCTAAACCCATGTACCTAAATATTGGGTACTTGGACCCTAAACCCTCAACCCTACATACCCTTAAATACCCCAATATATCCCCATCAAACCTCCTTAGCAGCAACCCAGATATGCGGAATCAAGGAGCATCAGGAGTCTCTATGCTGAGCTTTGCACCGTGAGGGCTGGACTTGGTCCGTTGCAAACATGGAGCCTCCGGATATTGGAAGGGTTTAGGGCTTAGGATTTAGGGTTTAGGGTCTAGGGTGTAGGGTTTAGGGTGTAGGTTTTAGGGTAGTGGCAGCCATTGCTTCAGCAGCAACAGAGAAGCCCTCCCAACAAGCGATACTGGTCGTGGCAGTCCTCTATTAAATAGCGTGAGGAGTAGAAGCAGCAGGAAGCAATAGGAGGTGGTAGGAGGCAGTAGGATGCCCTTGCAAATTGGCATAATAAGATATGGTCTGAGGGATAGATGCTCTTGTAAGCGAACTCAATCGCAGATGGACAAAATGATGATTTGGGCATGGACGCTCCGGTAGTCGATTGTACTCGCAGATGGACGTAATTTTGGTTTGGGTCTAGATGCTAGCATAATCGCACGCCTGTTTTAAAAAAATCATGCTTTGGACGGGTCATCCACAATAACAACAGCACCAGCAGCCATAACCACAACAGTTTGATAAACATCAACATCAGCAGCAGCAACGAGAGCAGTAACAGCGATCCGTTTGTGCACCGTCAGCACTTTGGTACGCTTCAAAGTGCACGAGGTGCGGTTGATTTCAAGAAAATGCGTTTGCGGCGGCTTGGGTTTGGGGCGCTATGGGTTCAAGGATTTTTTAAGGACCCTTTTCCTTCCTGCTTGTACTTGGGGCTGAGGAATAGGGTTTAGGGTTGAGGTTGTAAGGATTTCGCTTAGTGATGATTTGGAGTTTAGGGTTTAGGACTTTCAGGGAATTGGATTCAACGCCTTCAGCCAACACTGCTGCCAGAAACGACCCATGCGCCTGTGAAGCCGGCTACAACTGCCAGCTGCCACCATTCCTAGCTGCCGTGCCAAAACTGCAACATCGTCAACTTTTCTTGGGGCATCAGCTCGTTGTGACCATGTCTCGGAGCATGCCACGACTGTGCTGTAGCGCATGAATCTCCTGCAACTACGATTGCAAGCACTTGAACTCTGACTATATAGCGTATCTGACATTAGCCTCCTTATTCCTGCATGCATCTTCGACAAAAGCCTGGCGGATACATGCCACAAACTTGAACCACAGGTTCCAACCTTCTCCATGTGAAGCCGCCGCATCCAAACATGATTGAACAGAATGTTCGCCGATAGGCACCAGGGGGGGTGTCCGAACATGTCTGGCAATAAGCCATTGCTCTAACACCCATGAGGCCCTTGAATTTTCAGTGTTGTTCTGGATGCTTTGCAGTGCTAGGTTTGGGGAATGCTGGTGCTTTGGAACTGTCAATTTGCTGATGATGCATGGCACAAAAGAGCTGTGGGCAGAACAGAAACGTGAGGGAATGGCCATCAACAAACGATGTTGGGACCGCTCGGTACGGTAACACACCCCTCATGTCTGCACCTTTTCCTGAAGACAAAAAAAGGAAGGGCTCAAATCCAGACCTCTGCTTGTTATACCCCAGGCGGAATTATCCAGCATGCTCTTCAGCTGAAACATGCTGAAACAAAAAAACGATCATATGTCCTATGTGATTTTGCTGGTTTCCGGCACGTCACATGCCTCGCTGAGAATGTTCTACCACCAAACAATGTTGGTGGCATCTAACAGAATCTAGCAAATTTTGAGGCCCTGCTGAATGGCATGGCTCTCCACTAACCTGAGCCTGAATGCCTGAGATTGCACTCATTGCACCCCGAAACCCTAATTCCTGAACCCTACATCCTAAACCCTAAACCCCAATTCCTAGGCCCTAAATCCTAAATCCTAAACCCCTTCTAGCAAACATCCAAAACTCCGAGCCGTTACAATTCAGCGCAAGTACTCAAACGTGAGTTTTCTGACATGGGAGACATTCGCTTGAGGATCTCTGGAGAAATCGCTAAAAGACAGTCTATCTACACACGCCCCCAGGTACGCGAAGTGGCTATGGGTGCCTCTCAAAGTCAGGTCTCTCTGCGTAAGTGGTAACGCACTGTAATGCCTTCTACAAGAGCCCAAGAGCTTGTCCAGACTTTTTGAGAAGTCACCCTATCAGCTTCACCTTGCCAAGGATTTAAAATAATGGCTGCACGGGCTCAAAGCAGGGGATGGAAGGAGGACCAGCAAACAGCCTGTGTGGGTCATATAAGAGGATCTTGCAGGGGTTCTGCAGAGGGTGATTATGCAGGGGGCACGTTCGGTTGAACCCTGGCCGTCGTTGTGAAACAGTGCGGTTGACGCAAAAGGTTTGGCAACCCGCAAGATTTCCCAGTACTACTTTAGGAGGACCCCCCTCCCTGTAATAGTGGCAGAACAGGGAGATAATAGGACCCTAATATGATCCCTATTATCCCTTATAGTCACTATTACAGGGTGGGGGGGTCCTCCTAAGTACTACTTTTTCTCAAAGCTGTGGAGTCTGCAGCCTTCAACCTCAAACTTCAAAACACGCGCTGCTGCGTGAGCCGGCATAGTGGAGCTTAGAGGATGAAAGGCTCAGAATTTGGTGGTGTTTAAACGAGCACCTAACAACTGCCACTGGGTTGCTGTTCAGGAATCTAAATTAAGTTACCATATTGGGGCATGTATTGTAAATAATAGGGTTTCCCCAATCTAGTAATTTAAGTTAAGTTCCTTAACAGCAACCCAGGCAATGAGCAACTTTGCATGGCCCAGCAACTGCAACTGCTCAGATGTTCTCCTCCTGCTGGCATGTTGCCACCTCGCGTCCCGTATAACAGGTTGTTTTAAACATTAACCCGATAGGTTTAGGGTTTAGGGTTATACTGTAGAGCCCTAATTAACAACCCCCCCCCCTCCCCTCCATAAGGATTATAATACGGATCCCAATATTAAGGCCCTTACAAGGAGGGGGTCTATTGATCGTTGGTCTACAGTAGGAAGCAAAACGCGTGTAATTAAGACATTCAGCGGATTGCTCTTTCAGCATCACTGTTAAGACTAGAGATACATATTATAGTAGTTTCCGTTTTCTTTTCCATTATTCCTATAAAACCTCAACATACTATAGTAGTTTCCATTGTCCTTTACATTATCCCAGGCACATCCCTGCATGGTTGGTTGTCTAAATTCTGGTCCCTTTTGGGGTCCCTATTATATTACGGCCTCTAATATTTAGGGTACCCAAAAAGGACCCATAATTTTGACAACCACCCGCATCAAGCCATGGCCTCAGGAGTGATCTTTGAGCTTTGTCACCTAAAGCAGAATGCGCTCGGGTGCCGGATGGCCAAAACACCTTGGGTCATAACTGCCTAAGGGTTTTTTTTGAAAAAACTAGTAGAAACACCTTGGGTCCTAACTGCCTAAGGGGTTAGGAGTGTACTCCCGCACAGCCACACAGAGGTTGCAGGACGAGATTGTTCGTAGCTCTTTCATGACACAACACTGGGTAGCAGGCAGCTGGCGCCCATGCGTAGCGTCTCGAGTTCGTAAGTAAGGTCGGCAGCTGCCTTACCCAGGGCCACAGAGATGTAGGTCAGCCCGGCCGCATCCCACTGTCTGGCCCACCCCCTGGCATAGTATTCCTCCCCTTCGGATTGATAGCTTAGGATTGGTTTGCCATAGATACCGATGGGAAGGAACGGCTATGTGAAAATTTACACGTTTGACAAAGAAGTATAAAGAGTATAGGATGTACAGGGAGCGCATAGGAAAGTCTACACAAAGCCCTACACCCTAAACCCTAGCCGTCCGAATCCGAGCCAACGCACAACCTCCAAGCATGCACATGGTTTGGGCTGCATCTGCAACCATGCATGCAAGAGTTATACAATGGTATATTCTGGTATAGAATAGTATTTACGGTATATAATGGTATATTATGGTATATTATGCTATAGCTATAACATGATTAGGGCTTACATAATGGCAGCTAGCGACAGCTGATCACCCTAGCACGCTGAGATGACGCGCCTCGTGCTGCCTTGCAGTGGCCTTTCTGCCTGCGGTTTAAGGTTTAGGGTTTAGAATTAAGGTTTTAGGGTTTGGGGTTTAAGGTTTCAAGTTTAGGTTTTAGGGCTTAGGGTTTAGGGTGTAGGGTTTAGGGTTTGAGGTTTAAAGTTTAGGGTTTAAAGTTTAGGATTTAGGGTTTAAGGTTTAGGGTTTGGGGCTGAAATGACGCTACACGCAACCGTACACGCACGAAACGAAGTGTTCAACTCCTATGGCCATGTCCACTGCAAGAACTACTATCCTGCTATTTATACTCTCCTGCTATTATTACTCGGCCTATAGCTGTTCTTATGATGCTTACCATTATCACCACAGTCTTGAAATCAAAGTCA